CACATGAATCGCCTTTAAATGAATTCAATCTGTGTTTATTTCACCCATGCAACAAGACGATGTTTGTTCTTCTATGGATTCTGATGATATCAAAGAGTATTTGCTGTGTAGTAAAAGCGAGTTTGCATTAGACTCAGAATTAGATGCAGAGAAGATCGAGAGCAAAACACAAGACAATAACACGCTCTATTTTGGTTTTTAGTAAAATAGGTCATCATTTGTTCTTCTGTTTGTAGCGCTTCTTTGACTTCTTGTGACAGTTTCTACGAGACGGATGCTCGTTGTAGCATCCAACTGGATAGTTGCTTGAGCATCCGCTGTTGGATCCCATTCCACCTGGATAGGCGTTACTTGCATTTCCTCCTATTCCCATTCCCTGACATGGATTGAATGAATTCATTCCACCCATTCCACCCATCATTCCGCCCATTCCAGGCATACAATTATTTCCCATTCCTGACATCATTCCTCCCATTCCTGGCATGCAATTATTTCCCATTCCACTTTTATTATTCATTCCTGGCATACAGTTATTTCCCATACCTGACATTCCACCCATTCCATTCATACAATTATTTCCCATTCCACCATTCATTCCGCCATTCATACAGTTGTTTCCCATTCCGCCATTCATACAGTTGTTTCCCATTCCGCCATTCATACAGTTGTTTCCCATTCCACATTGTGATTTCTTGTATTTCTTTCTACGATTATTCATTCCAGGCATGCAATTATTGCCCATTCCATTACCCATTCCGTCCATACAATTATTATTCATTCCTCCCATAGCACCATTCATACAGCTATTGCCCATATTGCCCATTCCACCCATACCAGGCATGCAATTTTGACCCATTCCGCCCATTCCTGGCATCATCCCACCATTCATACAATTATTACCCATATTACCCATTCCAGGTGTCATTCCACCCATACCAGGCATACAGTTGTTTCCCATTCCACCCATACCATTCATTCCTCCCATTCCTGGTGTACAATTGTTGCCCATTCCTGGTGCGGTGTTACATGGCATTGCCTGTGAGTTCTGTCTTGCATTTCTTAGCATGTTATTCACTGCATACGTGTAGTCGAGATTCTTTACAGAGCAATTCGTGTTACCAGAATTCCCACCAAGCAAGTTGTCAAGGCCACTGCATTTCTGATTACCAAAGACACCTGAGCCATTTTGATTACCAAAGACACCTGAGCCATTTTGATTACCAAAGACACCTGAGCCATTCTGATCAGGACATGGCATCCCTGAATTGTGCCCAGATGAGCCCATGTTACCAAGACACTTCATCAGACTGTTGGCCACACTGTTTGCAATGTGCTTTGCTATACCATTTTGCATGTTAGTTGATCCATTTGGATCACAATGTTTACTACCGTGGTGTCTGGACCTGGATCTAGAGTGGCAGTCAGAGTGGTGTCTCCTGGCCATCGCACTCTCAAAAAGAAGCAACACGACGTATTTCATTGGTTTCACCTGCAGGCTGAAAATATTTATTGTGAAACCGATCATTCTAAAACGCGTTGTAATCACACCTAGCTTAGGCCATCTTTTTGATTTTGCAGTAGAAGAAGCCGTCCATGTTGTGGACGTGAGGATAGATTCGTTTGGCCTTCTTCAGCTCGTTTGAAAAATCAGCCCCCCTAAAACTCATAAACCCGTCTTTACCGATGCTGATATCAGGTTCCTGAATTTTGGCACTTTTTCTATTTCGTAGCAAGTAGTCTACGACCATCTCATTCTCCTCAACCAGGAAGCTGCATGTGGAATAGACCATTATTCCATTTGGTTTCAGCATATCAAATGCATGTAGAATGAGCTTCTTCTGCTCCTTCTGAATCTTCTTTACTTCTTTCTCACTTTTGTTCGTCTTAACCCATTTGTCCTTTGATATCACGCCAGTTCCAGAACAAGGAGCATCGAGCAGAACTCGATCCACCTTCCCCACTTTCACATCCATTGCATCCATGTTTATCACTATTGCGTTAGTTATACCCATTCTATGCAAATTGCCCTTTAATGCGTATGTTCTGTCTTTGCACAGTTCCACAGCATACAACACGCCTGTATTGTTCATCAGTGTCCCAATATGCGTTGCTTTACCTCCTGGAGCAGCACATAGGTCAACCACACTTTGATTCTCCTCAATCTGCAAATTCAAAACAGGCAGAAATGAGTTGGCTCCTTGTACGAAATAGTAGCCAGCAAGGTATTCAGGCGTAGCACCAAGGGGAACTGCTGACTTAAATGCCACAAGCCCCTCTTCGCACCACTCTAATGCCGATAATTCCACCTTCCTGTGATGGAGCATCCCCATCACGTCCTTCCTTCTCTTCAGCATCGTGTTCACT